CGTGGACCCTCGGGCCCGCGCCCCCGTGGAGGGTTTCGTAGACGCGTGCCACCCAGAGTTTCTTTAGCCGATCGTCCTTCCCGATGAGGTGTTGCACGTCCAGCCCAGTCCGCGCCTGGCGCCAATCCGTCGGTAGCGAGTCCCGTCGGAGGGAACGTGCAGGCCAGCGTGGAGCAGGCCAGAACGGTAAACCAGTTGACGTCCAACCCATTGCACGGCACCTCGCACTGGTTCGCAAGCGCGTAGAAGATGTCGTTGGCAACTGCGTTGATACGTCTGAGGTGCAGGCACATTTGAACTGGGGTGTGTCCCTGTGTGCCGCTGTTGTCGTCAGTCTATGCCTGGAAGAAAAGGACGAGCTTGGTGTTGGCCACGTCTGGCAGTGGCGGAAATCTTCATGTTCGGAAGCATTTCCTTGATTGCGTCAACTCGTTCTGAGCAGTGGCGACGTCTCAGATGGTGACTGGCGCCCATCGTCGTCGTCGCGGCGTGGTACCTGCGCTCTTTCTTGGCCAAGTGCTAGGGCGAGGCCCCCCGCGCCCTCCTTTCTCTCCTTGGATGTCCGTGCTGTGGGGGAGGCCGGATACATCAGCGGCGTGTCTCGCGCATGGATGCGGTTGATGACGGATGGAGCAGCGTCGAAGATGCGAGCAAGACAATTCCCGCAGTACCACCCAGCGTTCCGTTCGCCACTCGCCCAGCAGTCGATCCAGTTGCCCCAGGGAGGTAGGTTGCACTGCTCGACGTCCTCCCTGCCAGGAGCCGGACGCCAGACGAAGCGCCCGACCGCTGGCTGCCCGCGTTTCCAGGTGCATAGCAGCTTGGGCTCTGGGCAACCGTCACAAGTAGCACTGTAGACCCCAGGCCTGACACCATATGTGCCGAAGCGGTCGTCGTCGGGTCGTGTTGGGGGGTTTGGCACGCCCGTCACCCTGGGGTCGCTGGCCGAGTCAAGTGCGAAAAGGAGGTCGCGTAGCAGGCAGTCGGCGGTTGGGTTGGCGAGGTGGGCAAGCCTGGTCGGGAGGTGCACAGGCGGTGCCAGACTGAAGGCTGTGATCCTGCTGGGCATGCTATGCCGGAGGTTGGCCAGCTTCTCGCGCATCGAAACGCCTGCGGGCACCTTGCTGCTCGAGGCTTTCCACCCAGCACCCGTTGCACAGCCAACGGCAGTTGAGTCGCTCGTGCCATGCTGCCAACCTTACCGTAGCCAGACGTTGACGCATATCGTTGTCCTCCCAAGTGCCGTCAATGTTTGTGGAGGGGCCTCTCTGACACTCGTCGCAGTAGAAGCTGGCAGTGTTCTGTGACGGCGAGAAGCGCAAGCCTCCTGCTCGAAGCCTTTTCGGTGTCATTGTGGCGCCAAGTTTCGCTGCAGGGGATTCGGGTGTGAGGAGGGCCTTCTGGTCCATCGCTCGTCCTGTGCCCGCATAGTGCAGCTTCTGGTCCGGCGTGCACCCGAGATGTTTGTGATTCCCTGTGATGGATTTGTAGAGCCAGCAGACGGCGCAGCTGGTTGTCTCGTTGTCAGGCTGGTCATCCGTAGGAGCCAGCGGTAATTGGAGCGGTTCGATGAGCTGGTGGGGATACTTGTTTGTCGGCAACCGCGGCGAGCGCGCCAGCGGCGAGTCGAGTCAGAGCGGGTCGCGCAGAGACGAATGAAACCTAAAGCGGCGGGGCGGAGCCTCACGCGGCACCTCGGCGGCCAGGCCGGCGAGTGGAGGGGGCTGGCGGCGGCTGCCAGGAATCTGCACTGCCAGGGATTGCACGCATGCAACGAAATGCAGAGCGGCTGGCTGCCAGGGGGGGCCGACTGCCAGGGTCTGCAAACGGCTGAATTAGATGCAAGAAGAGGGCACCCTAGGGACTGCGAAGTACCAGGCTTGCCGGAACCAGGTGGGACGAAGCCTCCACGAGGCAAATTGTGTGCGTGAGTTGAACAGCCAAAACTACGCGCAGCCAAAATGGCGCGTGGGAGCACCGCGGTGTGACCAGGGGAGAGCACCTCAAGGAGCCCAAGATGCCAGCCAAGGTCAGAGGGGTGCGGGTGGTGGCGCCACTGAAGTCGCACACCCAAGCCCGATAAGACGGGCACAGTCCGTGTTCAGCTGGTGGGGATACTTTGTTGGTCGCGGCCGCAAGCGAAGGCGCAGGCGGAGTCAGAAGCGGTCCGGGGCGCGGAAACGAGCCTAATTAGCTACTGGGCGCGCCGCAGGCCGGCCGGGCCAGCTCACAAAGCAGCTGCTGTGCCGCGCGGTGAGGCTGACAGGCTCGGGCACCCAGGGAAGCTCGGGCAACGTGCAGCCTAGCAAAATGCCAGGAAATTCGGTGCACGCCATGCGGCGTGAACCACTCAAACTGGTGGGGATACGCGGAGCGTGAAGAATTAGAGGGTTCTCAAGAAGCCACAAAGAGCCCCCAAGAGCGCCCCAAAAGTCTTTCAGGGGCTGCCACAAGGCAACACTAATTAGCACCGCACCTGGAGCAGCACTTTCTGCAGCCAGGGCAGGAAGCGCACTTGGACACGAGAGAAGAGGGTCACGACGGGAACGGGTCCTCGACAATTTCCCGCGCCTCCGAGCCCCTGGGGCCCTCCACGGGCCCCAGGACCGTCCAAAAGCTACTCAGGAGGAAGTGCTGGTCCTAGGGAAAGCGCCCGAGGAGGAGCTGACCTGAGAGAGCCCCAAGGGAGCCTCGAGGTAATCCCCGAGGCCTCCTAACAAGTCCTAAGAGAGCACAATAGAAGAAACGCAAGATGACTACCTACCAGACCACCCAAGTCCAACCCGGAGACCCGGATTTGACCTGAATTTCGGGTTGGGGCGGAGGGCACGGGATACATGTGTGTCGTGAATGTTCCCCGACCCCCCCCCCCCTCCCCACTGGAAATGGAGGGCGAATTGAGGCCTTCGGGTTGGGTTGAGGTCGTTTAGTGGGTGGTGACAAGAAGCGACGGCGTTGATGGTTAATTCCTGGCGTGTTCGCGCCTCGCCAGGGGCGCAAAAGCCTCGGCATGAAACCACACAGAAAGGGCCTTCGCGACGCCCCTACGTGCAGGGGGAGTCCCTTCAGCTTACCCACCACGGTGCAAGAGAGAGAGGAGCGCACAAGTGGTCGGACAAAGCAACGCCCCCTGCTTGCGCCACTGCACGTTCCGCAATGCCCCTCCGCAAGACGGCTCGTCGTCAGCACCATCTCCATTCGAATTCTCAAAACGCTCATGCCTCCATCCGCACTTCCCCGATCGTTCCCGCAGCATCATCGTCATCATCTGCATCATCATTAGAATCAGCATCATCATCCTTAGCATCATCAGCAGCACCATCAACAACATCAGCATCATCAGCATCATCACCACACTGACCATCATCGTCACCAGTCAGCAGCAGCAGCATCGTCATTATCATCAGCGTACTCATCAGATCCACTAAAGTATGATACTGAACATCCAGGTAGGGATACAACCGACATCACCATCAGCAGCAGCATCAGCATGGAAATCAACATCATCACGATCATCACCAGCAGCAGCATCATGAGCATCATCAACATCAACATCGGCATCGCCAACGACAAGAACAACAACAACAACAACAACAACAACAACAACAACAACAACAACAACAACAACAACAACGACAGCAACAACTATAATAACAACCACCATGTTAAGACTGTTCGTTTTCATCTGCTCGCGTGGAACTCAAAACGTATTTCCCGAACCCTCGATACCCGCCCTCTTCGTCTTCGACCGTACCCCCTTGGGGGTAGATCTGTCTTGCCTGCAGCGTGTGTTCCGTGCAGCCGCTGAGGCAGGGAAAGAGAGGACGGATGGAAGGAAGGGACAAGGGGGAGGGAGGAGGATGGAGCACGAGAGAGGCTAGGAGGAGGGGGGCTGGGAGCAGAAAACACGTGGCAGATCAGGCGGGTGGACCCTACCGGGCAGGTCGGGAAGGAGGGCCCAGGCGGCCAGGGCCAGCAGGCGGGTTGCGGAAGCGTGCGTCCTGCATGGATCGCGAGGAAGTATCGAGCGACAGCTCGATTGCCAAATCAATCGTGAGGAAATCCACAGCGAGAGCGTGACCCCTCAATGCCGAGGGCGCAGCGTCTGAACGAATTGCGAGGAAGTCCCACGCGAGAGCGCGACTCCTGAATAAATTGTGAGGAGGTCCCTCGCGAGAGCGCGATTTGGGAATACATTGTGAGGAAATAACGGCGGGAGTCGTTGTTGTAATTCGAAGCACAACAACGCAGTTTGAGGAGTACGTTCCCTGACGAAATCAGGGCGGGAGCCCCGGTAAGGACACTTACTTACATTGAAAAACATATATATATATATATATATGTATGTATATATATTTATATGTATATCGATATCTGTGAATATATATATATATATACAAATTGTTTATGTTACGGGAAGAAGATCAACTATAAACAATAACAACATTCATCACAACCACAGCCACAGCCACAACAACATCAATACCAACTACAACAACAACATCAGCAACAACAAAACCGACAACGACAACGACGACAACAACATCAACATCATCACGACCATCAGCATCATCACCATCATCAGCATCAGCAACCTTATCATCAGCATCACCTCCACCATCCCAATCCTCAGATTCACAAACAACATCACCATCAGCATCATCACCACCACCAGCATCATCATGGTCATCACCAGCATCCTCATCATCAACATCATCCTGCCTCCTTCTTATCTCCTCATTCCTGTCTCCTTCTCCCCCCTCCCCGCTCCCTCATGCACCCCGCCTCCCCATGCCTCAATGCCTCAATGCCTCACTGCCTCCTCTCGTGAGCAACCTCGGCCCATGCCTCCCTCGCCGCGGACTGCCCCGCACACCGCCGCTCCGGAGCCGGCTGCGCCTGCCCCCTCCACTGCTGCCTCCTTGCCTACTCTCTCCTCCCTCCTGCCTCGTGCCTCATGCTCCTTCCTGCCTCTTGGGATGAGGTGTCTAAAGTCCGGCCTGCGCGCCCTCGGCGTCCGCGGCGCCCCCGCCACCGCCGCAGCGCGAGGATAGTTTCAGCCCCGCGGCGGTGGCCTGGCGGAGGCTCGGCACTTCCCCTCCCTCCTCAGGCTCTCACTAGTCATGACTGTTTCGAGCTTTGAGCTTTTTCATCAGCTGGTTGCATCTCCAAATGAAGTCAATTTCATGTCAATGCCACCACTTCCACCACCGTCACCTCCTCCTCCTCCTCCTCCTCCTCCTCCTCCTCCTCCTCCTCCTCCTCCTCCTCCTCCATCCCTCCTCCCTATGAACAGCTCCTCCTCGTCGCACCATGAAGCGTGTCCGTGGGCCAGGCTGGGCGTGTTTCGCTTGCGAGTTCATTACCATGACGCTCGCGAAATGTCACCGCTGAGGAGGAGGAGGAGGATCGAGGAGGAGGCGGAGGGGGAGGATCGAGGAGGAGGAGGAGGAGGCGGAGGGGGATGATCGAGGAGGAGGAGGAGGAGGAGGAGGAGGATTGGAGGACTGGTGGACTTCAAGGTGTGCCTCTCACAGGAGAGCGGCGCAGATTCGTTGTAAAAAAACGTGCAACAAATGCACGGACGGAGGGACAGTCGTTTTCAGCACGCGGCCCACACCAACGCCGCTCACACGGGTCTCAAAAGCTTCCGACAAAATCAAAAGAACACGCGAATGGAGGCCGACACGTTTGCAACATGGGGCTCGGGCCTGCGACTCCCTCAAACTAAAGGGGCCGAGGGACACACACACACACACACACACAGAAATTGGCACACATTCCAGGAATCCCCGTACTTTCCTACATGGTCTGGGCTCTCGTCTTCGCCCCCACCACTGCCCATAGTTTCCTATACTTTCCCTGGGATCGACGACTACCCGTGCCGGTGTTTTTTCACTACTGACATTTATCACCGCAGGTGCAATGAGAATGGTCAACATTTACACGGACGCAGGGCGGCACCGTTCCAAAGGGGGGGGGGGCGTCGCTGAGCGGGCCAAAAGGATGCAAGAGGGCTCCCTTCGAGACAGGATGCAAGGGGCCGCACAGCGAACAAGAACGCGCGTGCAGGGACCAGTGGAGAGGGCACTTCGGACGGGAGGGTGCATCGCGGCATCGTTGATACATCATGGGTTCACTCTGGACCTCCTCCCCTCCTCCTCCTCCCTCCTCCTTTTCCTCCTCCTCCTCCTGCTGCTCCTCCTCCTCCTCCTGCTGGCTCCTCTCCTCCTCCTCCTCCTCCTCCTCCTCCTCCCCTCCTCCTCCTCCTCCTCCCCCTCCTCCCCCTCCTCCTCCTCCCTCCTCCTCCTCCTCCTCCTCCTCCTCCTCCTCCTCCTCCTCCTCCTCCTTCCTCCTCCTCCTCCTCCTCCTCCCCTCCTCCTCCTCTCCTCCTCTCCTCCTCCTCCTCCTCCTCCTCCTCCTCCTCCTCCCCTCCTCCTCCTCCTCCTCCTCCTCCTCCTCCTCCTCCTCCTCCTCCTCCTCCCCCCCCTTCTCCTCCTCCCCCTCCTCGCAAGAGGTCGTCAGGGGTCTCTGAGGATCTCCAAGTTCCAGGAAATCCCCAGAGGTCTCCAGGGGCCCCGAATACTTCTGCAAGCCTCTGGAGGCCCCTTTAAAGGGCCCAGAAACTTCCGAAAACTCCCGCCACCCTGACGCTTCCTCCTCCACCCCGACCACAGATCGCGCGATGCACTTCAAATCCACACGCACACATGCACACTTCACAGCAGGGCCGATTCCCGCATGTGAGCGTTTTCCTATTTGGCGTTTCGACATTGGGCGAAGGGGGGGGGGGGAGGGGGGGGGTCTGGCTCCAGACCTCTGCTTAGTGCGACTTTGTTCAACAGTGCGTCCTATGGGGGGGAGACTCCACTTGCTCGAAACAGGCGCCCGAAACAGCCAAGATCTACTCCACCAGGGAGGGGGGCAGGGGGGATCGAGGGCCCGCGCCGATCGGCAAAAAAATTCATAAGAAAACGATCACCATGGACTTAGGACCTTCGAGGCCCCAGTCCTCCGAGACGTCCTCAGCAGACGACTCGAGTCCCAAAGCCGTGCGGTCACCCCGAATCCCCACCGGCCCACCCCGACCGAGAGGCCACCGCACCATCCCGGGACATCGTCGGCACGCATCGACCCAACAACCGCCTTCTGGCCAACCCCTCGTCCCGGACAGACCTGCGACGGCCCCAGAAAGGAGACCCCAGAATCGAATCGATGAGTCGGATCAGCGATCGAAGCGACTCGGAAGGCGGAAATCGGCAGCCGAGTCGGGGAAAGTCGAATCGGCGGGAATCGGCAGGCTAGTGGACCTCCAAATGCAGATCGGAATCCCAAGTCGAATCGAATCGGAATCGGAAGCCATCGACATCGAATCGAATCGAATCGGCGAAGTCGAAACGAGCCCTGCGAGGGGCGGAAAGCCGACTCGCGCCGGTTCGTCTGCTTGGAGAGCCAGCGCTGCTGCATCGGCGCGGAGCCGAAATGGGAGGGGGGGGGGCGCGCAGGAGGCCGCACGACCAATCGAAGGGGGGCCAGGGAAGGGCATCTCGGGGAAGGGTGGGGGGAGGGGCGGGGTGGAGGGCGGAGCGCTTCTCGGACCTATCCCTCCCCCTCCCCCTCCCCCTCCCCCTCCCCCTCCCGCTTCCCCTCCCCCTCCCCCTCATCCCTGCCCCCCCTCCTGGGCAACCACGTGTGGACCCTAGCACCCCCAAAGGTCAGCTTCCTGGGGCCCCAGGAGCTGAAGGATGTCTGCAGTCAAGCGAACAGCGGGAGTGCCCGATTCCCCAGCGTCGATGGAACCCGCAAGGTTGGTCGCAGACCTCATTACCGGCCCTGCCCTCCTGGTCACGTCACGATGCGCGCTGGCGCCGTCCGGGAATGAGCCATCCCTAGGCATTCGCGAGCGGCAACGGCGCGAATCGTGACGAGAAAAGGCCCCCATCCCTCATCTTCCTCCCCCCCCCTAGCCACGCCCGTATATCGGGGATGGACAGACCCCCCTTTAGTAAAACGTGGTTTAGTGAAAACGACCTGAGGCCTAAACCTGACGGGCGCAAGCCTGGGAAACAACGGCCACGGCGCCCTCTCGAGAACCGAAAACGGACAATTCACTAATCGACGTGTCACTATTGGGGGTTCTGTCCAGCCCCGAGTATGCTCCCCCGCCCCCTGCTGCTCCTCTCTGGCTCGGCCGCCCGCGGGGCCGCGAGCAAGAGGAACAGCGCATTGAAGAGGCTCTCCGGGTCGGCCCCGTCCACTCCCGCGAAGCTCCACGCCCGTGGCGGCGCGGACGCACGTCCTGCGCGGGCCAGCGGGCGGAGGCGGGCGATCAGAGGAGGGCGGGCCGCCGGGAGGAGCGGGCCCCATGAGGCCTTGACGTCCCAAGGCTTGACGTCCCAGGCTTGGCCTCCTCCTCCTCCTCCTCCTCCTCCTCCTCCTCCTCCTCCTCCTCCTCCTCCTCCTCCTCCCCATGAGGCCAGCGCACGTCCTGAGCGGGCCCCAGGATTGAACAGAATCACGATCAGAAGGGCTTGAGTCTTTGCTGGCGCTGAGCCCAGGCCCGAGCCGCAGGCTCGGCCGAGCCCGAGCCCAAGAGGGAAGAAGCCGCTCGAGCCCAGGCCCGAGCACGAGGGCAGGCCCGGGGCCGAGCTCGAGCCTCGTAAACAGGGCACCTGCAGAGACCCCACGACGGGAGGCCACGCCCCCCCCTCCTGCTGACCCTTGGAGCGGCGGCCACACAAAGCAGCGCGGGCCGGGAATCTGATGGGCATGTTTTCCACCACCACCACCATAAATAAGTTGGAGGAGGAGGGGGTCCTCCTCCTCCTCCTCCTCCACCTCCTTCCCCCCCTCCAACTCATGGTGGTGGTGGTGGTGGTGGAAAAGAGGCCCATCAGAATCTGCTGACCCAGGGCAGTCCAGACCCGGGTGGGTCAGTCAGGCCCTGCAGGATCCCGCAAAATCCTGCAGGATCCTGCACCCAAGCCCGGGTCAGTGCGAGCCTGGCCCCTGGCCCTGCAGGATCCTGCAGGATCCGGCGCTCTGACTGACCCCCGTTTGCATTGACCCGTGCCTCCTGAGCCCCGAGCGAGGTCAGAGGTCGGCCACGGGGGACTGGGCGGCGGTCGACGCCGCTGGCGGCGCAACCATCGGCGAGGGGGGGGGGCGCTGTGGACGCCCACGCGCAGCCGTCGGCGAGGCTGTCGGCGCCGTCCCTTTCGAAGCGGCCGTTGGGATCCAGGCCCAGGATGAGGCGGAGGAGGAGGAGGAGGAGGAGGAGGAAGAGGAGGAGGAGGAGGAGGAGGAGGAGGAGGAGGAGGAGGAGAGGAGGAGGAAGGAGGAGGAGGAGGAGGAGGAGGCGGAGGGAGGAGGAAGGGGAGGAGGGGCGAGAGGAAGGCTCGGTGCACGAGGGGCGGCTCCTCTCGACAGCAGCGCGAGCGACGCCGCCACCGCGGCGGCGGCGGCCAGCCTGCCGGCGGCTCGGGCGCAGGCAGGGTGGGCCCTGCTGCCTCTCCGCCTCGTCACCATCCCAACCTCCTCCTCCTCCTCCTCCTCCTCCTCCTCCTCCTCCTCCTCCTCCTCCTCCTCCTCCTCCTCCTCCTCCTCCTCTTCCTCTTATTAGTATTATTCTTATTATTGTTATGATTCGTCTTCTTATTATTCGTATCGTTCGTAGTATAAATATTATTCTTTTTCGTATTAATATTAGTAGTGGTCGTCTTCTTCTTAATAGTATTAGTATTGTCCGTAGTATTCGTCTTAGTATGCTGCGTAGTATTCGTGTTATGAGTATTATTAATATTATTAGTTTTATCCGTATTTGTATTGTTAGTATTATTATTACTAGTATTGTTCGTATTGTGATTCGTCTTAGTCGTAGTCTTATTATTATTTGTATTATTCATATTAGCCGTAGTATTATTATTCGTATCCTTCTTATTAGTAGTTGTCTGATTCCTATTCTTCTTAAAAATACTATGGGTAGTATTATTCTTCTTATTCTTAGTACTAGAAACATTTTCACTATTATGTTTCGTATTAGTATTATCATTTTCTTCTTAATATTGGTAGTATTCTTATTGGTATTATTATTCTTCGTAAAATTATTCTTACTCTTCTTGCTATTCTTCTTAGTAGTCTTCTTCTTCTTCCTCCTCCTCCTCATCATCATCATCACTCCTCCTCGTCCTCCTTCTCCTCCTCCTCCTCGGCATCCCGCGCGAAGTCGTTCTCGCCCCCCCCGCCCCCTCCCCCCTCTCCGCATCCAGGTAGTTATGATCAGAATCATTCTCATCAGCATCATCAGCATCAGCATCTGCATCATCACAATCACCATGACCATCATCATCATCATCATCATCATCATCATCATCATCAGCATCATCATCAGCAGCATCATGAACAGCATCACCATCACAATCACCATCGCCATCAGTACGATCAGCATCATCAGCATCATCATCCGCAGCAGAAGCAGCAGCATCAGCATCAGCATCATGATCAACATCCGCAGTAGCATCATCTGCAGAAGCATCATCATCATCAGCATCATCATCATCATCATCATCATCATCAGCATCATCATCATCATCATCATCATCATCATCATCAGCATCAATCATCATCATCATCATCATCATCAGCAGCATCAGCATCATCATCATCATAATCATCATCATCATCAGCATCATCATCATCATCATCATCATCATCATCATCATCATCATCATCATCTTCCGCATCATGAGCATCATCATCATCAGCATCATCATCATCAGCAGCATCATCAGCATCAGCATTACGATCAACATCCGCAGTAGCATCATCCGCGGAAGCATATCATCAGCATCATCATCATCATCATCAGCATCATCATCATCTTCATCTTCAGCATCATCAGCATCATCATCATCATCAGCATCATCACCATCAGCAGCAGCATCATCATCAGCAGCAGCATCAGCATCATCGTCAGCAGCATCATCATCAAGTCGTCGTCATCATCATCAGCATCGCCATCATCCACATCATCAACGTCATCAGCAGCAGCAGCACCATCATCATCATCATCATTATCATCAGCAGCATCAGCATCAGCATCATCAGCATCATCGGCGTCAACAGCATCATCAGCAGCAGCATCATCGGCATCATAATCATCTTTAAGATCATCATGTTCAACATCAGCATCGTCATCTTCATCAACAACAGTATCAGCATCGTCATCATCAGCAGCATCATCAGCAGCATCATCATGATCAGTATCGTCTTCGTCGTCATCGCCATTACCAGCATCACAGCCAACACCATCACCATCGCCATCACCACCACAACCCTCCTCTTCCTCCTCCTCATCATCCTAAGCATCGTCTGCGTCGTCGTCGTCACCATCATCAGCAGCAGCATCCTCATAATCATAATCATCGTCATCGTCATCATCATCACCATCACAATGGCCATGATGATGTTCATCATCATCAGCATCATCATTAGAAGCATCATCATAAGCATCGTCGTCGTCGACGTCGTCACCATCATTAACCACCTAATCATCACCATCACCGTCGCCATCACCACCATCACTATCTTCATGATGACAATCACAAATACCATCATTAACAACTAAAACAGCATGATCTTCGTCATCATTATCAGCAACATCATCATCATCGTCGTCGACAACGTCAGCAATATCGTCATCAATATCCGACAGTCAACCCGTACAGTAAGGGTGCGCGATAAGGATGCAAGGGCCTTGGACGCCCATTCTGAAGATTTTCGACCGGGGCGCGGCCAACGAAAGTGGGGAAGGATGGACCGATGAGGCAAGGATACAAGAGTACCCTTGGCGAGGTTGCCCATCCTTACTACGCGGGTTGACCGCATTCATGTCCCATTTCTTCTTTCAAAATCTGAAACTTCCCAGACACGTCAGTCCCCGAACCTCGATCCAAGGCCACGCTGACGGTGATGTTGGTTACTACAAAAACGTTGGCCACGAACCAGTCCCACCTACGATAGGGACAAGGAAAGGCGACACCAACACCATCAGGGCGAGGAGATGCGAGGAGAAAGGGGGGTCCCCCTGGTGGTGTGGTCCCCCCTCTCGCTCGAGACATCCCCAGCCTCCTGCTCGGGGAGGCATCGTGGACCTCCTCGCTGGAGGTGGGCCCCCTGGTGGTGTTGGTGTCGCTTCCCCCCCCTCCGACTACAATGCTGGGACCTGCAGCGCTGGTACCTGCATTGCCGTCAGCGCGTCTACGGTCGATCCCCGACACGGGTGACGACCCGCCCACCGTGTGACATCGGGCACGCCGGCAGCGATGCACAGACCTCGATCTACTCGATCTTCGACCCTCGTCCCACGCCCCGCTCGGGCACGGCTCCTCCCCCTCCTCCTCCTTCTCCTTCGCCTCCTGCTCCTCCTCCTCCTCCCTCCTCCTCCTCCTCCTCCTCCTCCTCCTCCTCCTCCTCCTCCTCCTCCTCCTCCTCCTCCTCCTCCTCCTCCTCCTCCTCCTCCTCCTCCTCCTCCTCCTCCTCCTCCTCCTCCTCCTCCTCCTCCTCCTCCTCCTCCTCCTCCTCCCTCCTCCCCTCTCCCCCTCCTCCTCCTCCTCCCTCCCCTCCTCCTCCTCCTCCTCCCTCCTCCTCCTCCTCCTCCTCCTCCTTCCTCCTCCCTCCTCCTCCCCCTCCTCCTCCTCCTTCTCCTCCTCCTCCTCCCCTCTCCTCCCTGCCTCCTCCTCCTTCTCCCTCCCTCCTCCTTCCTCCTCCTCCTCCTCCTCCTCCTCCTTCCTCCTCCTCCTCCTCCTCCTCCTCCTCCTCCTCCTCCTCCTCCTTCGGAGGTCTTCGACAGAACGTTTAAGAAGCCACTTTGCAAGACCAGGCCAGATCAGGCCCAGGCTGAAACTCGATTGGAAAGGGGCCCAGGGTCACACACAAATAAATGGACACAAATCCCAGGATTCCCCATATTTTGCAATATTTTCTGGGTTTTCGTCGTCCCTCCACTTCCCATATTTTCCCATATCTTCCTTGGGATCTCCGATTCATTGTCTGTGTGTGTGTGTTTTTTCCATCCTGAGATTGGACCAGTGGAGCCTGGGTCCATTCGGATTGACAAGGATCCAGCGGGATCAAGCCAAGAGTAGGCAAGCTGTCCACTATACGGATGTATTGGCGCCAATGCCGAATTTTTGACCTCCCAAGTGTGGCATCCGAACTCGACGGTCCTCGACAAACCCCGATCCACACTGGTCCCACCTCAGTCCTCCCCTTCGATCTTCCCCAACGCCCCTGCATCCCCCAGAGGCCCCTACAGCGGAGGTCAGCCCACAAAAAACCTTCAACCAGAAACTCAACCCTGACCCCCCAGGACGTCCATTGATTTTTGGTGCGGGAACGTCGCGCTATCCATCGCAAAACCATCGAAACCCAAGAAAACCAGGGCACCGTGGAGGCAAGCAGGGTGTTTCTTGGCATGGGTCTCCACTGTATGTCGACAGCGTGAATGTTGTTCGCAGCGAGGGTCCCCGGAGCTCTGGACCCCTGCCTGGGAACGGCGTGTTCACCCCAAAATGTTGTTTATCCATACATGCTTCGTGAAGTTATGGTTATCTTCCGTGCCGCGTCGCACCCGCGTCTTCCGCAACACACACACACACACCTCGCTCCCTCCTCCCTCCTCCCCTCCTCTTCCTTCCTCCCCTACAAACACACATACACACAGACACACACACACACACACATTCCTTCACACACACACACAGACACACAAGTGCACAAGCAACCACACACAGAAGCGGCCGCACACACATCAGACACAAGCACACCGCACAACACACAACACAGACACAAACACAGACGCAAAGCACGACAGGTGTTGCAGTTTCTCGGCGCCAGAGGGGGTGCGCAGGGGGTGCGGTCTCTATGCGTTGCAGGCTCGAAGGGCACGGCTGGCGTGTCACTTTCTCGACACCAGAGGGGGTGCGCAAGTGGTGCGGTCTCTATGCGTTGCAAGCTCACAAGGCACGGCACGCGTGGCACTTGCTTGACACCAGAGAAAGGTGCGCAGGGGTGCGGTCTTTACGCGCTGCAGGCTCGCAGGGCACGGCGTGACACCAGATGGGGTGCGCAGGGGGTGCGGTCTCTATGCGTTGCAGGCTCGCAGGGCACGGCTGGCGTGGCATCTTTTCGACACCAGAGAAGGCACGCAGGGTGCAATCTCTATGCACTGCAACCTCGCAGGGCGCGGCGGGCGTGGTATTTTCTCGACACCAGAAAGAAAGCACACGCTATGCGCTGCAGGCGCGCAGGGCACGGCAGGCGTGGCATTCTCTCGACGAAAAAGGGGGGACGCTGGAGGTGGGGGCCGCTATCCGTCTCGGTGTCGCGGGGCGTGGCAGGCGCGGCATGTGCTCAACGCCAGGGGGTGCACAGGGGGTGGGGGCGCTATCCGTCTCAGGCCGGCAAGAC